CTCCAAGAAGTCGTGTTAACTCTTCTCCAAACCAAAACACGTTCCCATGTATCTGTGACTTGGTTTATTTTTATAGGTGCTGTTAATTTGCATACAATGGGACTCAGGCTCCTGCTGTGTAGTTGCTTGGACCCCTTTTTAATCCAGTGGGCGCTGAGCAGATGTAAGTGATTACATTATTATAAGAGAATTCTGAATGAAATCCACAAATATAAATAAATACAGGGAAGTGCACTATGGAAGAGAATATCCTCATTGTCCAAGTTTTGCCGCTCTTTAGGAATGGCCTGTGAGCTTTGTGGGTGGTCTCTGAGAACTCTAACAAAGCGAAGTGGCACAACTGTTATTTTCCGAGCGAAATGTATTTCTGACAGATACTGTGTTTAATGATTACTTGTAGTCTGCTGCTGACATTGCTACCTTCTACAATAGGGCAGTAGTCAATCCATGCCTCCTTCTTGGGGAAGCCACAACAAGAATAATTTCTTCCTACACAGGTCAATCACCTCCATGTCTCAAGTTTCAGAAACTGAATAGATTCCTGACTATCTTATATCCTGATCGATAATGACATAATACTAATACTTATATATTCTCTGTGTAAGGGAAGAAAACAGGTGCATTTCCCTTCAGCCCTACAATATTACCAACCTGATGTTTTGATAATAAACAATGTGTGTGTGACACTGGTATTAAACAGGCCAAAAGGACGCTCTTATTTTCCTGAATGTAAAGCAAGACAGCATTCATATGCCTCACTACCAGTTCCCTTTACATTACAAATATTTCATATTAAACAGTTTGATATAGTAAATTGTACTAAAAGTTTAGACATAAAGAACAGGTTACTCTTTAATTAATCTATTTTGTCAGTGTCAAGATGCCAGAGTCATAAAACTTACTGCAAAAATGGTTTGAAAAATATACGGGTAGGGAAGGCAAAAAAAAAGCTTTGATGAAAATGTACAGAGCCAAGAAACTGTAACACTGCTAAAAGTCAAATGAATGGACAAAGAAATACTATTTACAGCATAGTTAGCCATCACAATTACTCCATTGATGTAAAAAAAAAAAAATGCAGCCAATTTCTTTCAATATTAGATCACATTTAAGTTCTGCTATTATTTGAACTAGCCTCTCCAAATATTTTAGCTTTCAGAAATAATTGCTAAATAATGGCTTATATTAAATAAAACTACTGGTTTTATATTGAGCTCAGAACCAAATCCGAAGTAAAATATGGTTGCACAAAGCATTATAAAAAGTTATGTTGTTTTTATCCTCTGATAGGTAAATGGGGACATTGAACCTGGGCAGTGAGAGGAAACCTGTGCAGTTCAGTGTCTTTGGTTGGGAGAGTCTTCACTGCACATGGTTACGTGTGCATGCGTGTTCCAGAGTGTATTTTCAGTAGCTTTTCCAAGCCAGAGATGATTGTGATGAGTATTTTTGTGAGGTACAAACTACACTTGATTGCCTTTCAGTATCTCAGAGTAAGCCAGGCCGTCTACAGAGTAATGAGGAAGTTGCAGTGGTAGCACAGTGACGCTGCAGGTAAACAAGACGGTCATTATGTGCATTGTAGTGTTCCATGGGCAGCTCCACACTAGAATTTCATAGTAAGATCATGAAAATTGCCAGGCTTATCCAGTAACACTATTGAAACTCACTCAGTAATTTTAATGGAGAGAACTGTGGGATGTGAGTAGAGGGAGCCTCAGATTAACTCTTTATTATGAGCCGTATATCTCAGTTTAACCTATTGGCTGGATGATTTGTCAGTTTGGGATTAAAGACCACTGCCTGCACTGCATGCAAATTGCACTGCATGCAAAGTGCAATGATTTGGGACTGAATTCTGGAAAGATTCTTGAAGCAGTGAGACTTCTGCTGAGTATAGCATTGCTCACAAGTTAACTTATTTTGAGTACAATTGTCTTCGTAAAAACTGATTTTGATAATAGTTCTGTAATAGTGTGTGGATAAAGAGCTGGTTTTTCAAAATACCTGTTGAAAAGGCTTTTCCATTAGAAAAAAAAAAATGGTGTTCCTTAAAGATAAGGAGATGCTTAGCTGTTGGGAATATGTCTAAAATCACTGAAGTCAACATTACATCCATAGCTTCCCATTTTACAGGAGCAGATCCTAATGCTGTTCTATATCCCCTGCATCCTCAGATCCCTGTTTTCTGCTTGTGACATCACTCTTGTTCCCTCAATACTGAACTGTTATGTCAGTAAAGTCACTGATTTAAGTTGAAGCTGCTGTGAAATAATAATGTCTTCCTTAAAATCCTGCTTTCTTGCAAATCATCTCTGCCATAGAGGATATGTGTGTGAAGAACTTTAAAAATAGACTTCTGCTTTCCAGATTTCTTCAATAAGCAGGTTTAAGTATGTCTCTCTTCTAAAAAGTAACTCCTTTAAGAACAACATGAGATGGAAAGCCACAGCACTCACCAGCTTGCACTTCCTCACTTTGTAAAACAAAAATTTTTTCCAAGCTCAGCTTCTTCAGACCAAACCTACCATCAGCCATGGTCCCTCTAATATGCATGTTCGCACATGTAGTAAGGATTCTGCAGGCCAAATAGTGCCAGTATTATCAAGTTTTGACTTTGCTAGTACCTGAGAGCAGGAATAAAGGAGAGATGTTGTAACTTATCTGGAAATTAGCTATCTTTCTGCAGGATCACATGAGCTAAAATAAACTGCAGCTCATTATTATACAGCTGTATAAACAGACATAAGATTTGATTGAAATTTGTCACTAAGGTGGACAAGTCTCCTGTCCATGGACACCAGATAACTTTAAGGAGAAGATGCCATTTAAAAAAAAGCCACTTTTCCCAACAGAGAACACTTCAATGCAGAAATTGTTGAGTTTTAAAAGTGATTTTATTATTGTGATCCAGAAATATATGCATGTGACAGTCCATTTCAGAGACTTAGTTATAATCTTTAGATCACTCCCCTAAGGTGTTGTAATATAATCTGACACAATGTTAAAATAACACTTTAGATTTCAACATCATTGTCCCTGAATGTATAATTGTGTTTATTATCTAGAGAGAAATAGAAATCAAAACATTTAATGAAAAAATATCAGCTTCATGAGCATTCTTTTTATTGATAACTTATCAATATTCATCAATAAAGCTGAATTTTATTGCACTGAACAGGATGCTCCATCCTAGAGAAAAAAAATAGGTGCCCTGTCTCTATTAAATATTTTCTTGTGGTAAAATTATGTTACATATTTTAGTACCACAGCCTTTATGAGACAATCATTTGCGCTAAGACTATTTGGGAACCAAATTAAAGATGGAGAATCCAAAATGTTACTGCAAAGCTCTAGTAAAAACTTTAATATGAGTCAACAAAATTGCTGCTCATTTTCAGATAGATTACCGTTTCTGTTTGTTATAAAAATTAACAAGATTTTCTATCAACACTTACAAATAAAGTAGAATAGAAATGTCTTCAAGAAGACCACTGCAAATACCTTTTGCCAGTCCTGTACTTACAGTTTGTTAATTCTAAGGAATATGCAGCATAGTACTTAAATATTTATCAGATTAACTCCTATGAGAGGGGCAGGATGAAGGAATATTCCATGACTCTTCTTCCCTCTCAGAAAAGCTTCAAGTCCCAAGGACATGGAAGTCAAACAAAGTCAAAGCAGCAATTTATATAGCTTGAGAATTATACTAATGTGTATACAACATTCCTTATTGTTAAGGTAAAAAAGTCTTTATATTTACTCCAAAATAAAACATTTTTTTGTTTTTCTTTCAAAATCAACCTTTTTACATATAAGAGAATTGATTCTCTTTAGACAGAAATTGTCCCGGTTCTAATACACAAATCTAGAACTGACTACCAGTAAATACACAATTCTTGATAGATATTCTTTAATTTCTAGAATAAAATGGTAAATATTTCATGGTCATCTGTTTTATTGACAACGTATTTTAGAAGGTTTGAAGCCACTTCTACCTGGAAAAGGCATCCAAGTAATAGAATACTTAGATTGTTTTGTATGTGGTCTTGAGTAGCTTCAATATAAAGATATCTGCTGAATTTACCTTTAAGTTTAAAAGATTTAAAATTCTTCTAAAATAACATGGGCTGACAGGAGAAATTGTAACATTATTTCTAAAATTTTAAATTTTAAACTGAATTAAGTTTTTTGAGTGTCATCAATAAATGAACAAAAATTTGTGTGGGTAATGCACACTCTACTTTCTAGTGTGGTTTATCGTGGCTCCTGGACCATGAACTTCTATAATAAAAATATATCTGCAGCCAGCATTGAATATTCTAGATTGCAGAGGAAATTAGTATTGACTCATTGGTGAAGTTCAGTAAGAAACCTTGAAGGACACAGATGTTAACAACAGAGTCAAAGAGGAATCAAGGGTAGCCCAGCTTTGAAGTTTAATATAAACTTATCCAGAAGAATAAGATATTTCAAGATAAAATCTTGAAACCGTTTATTGGTCATCCTGTCATCCTCATAATTTTTCAGTTGCTCAAAATAAGGACAGAAAACAGCGGTGTATCTGAGCAAGAAATGAAGCATCAGCTCTGAAAGGGTAAAGCGTTGGTGGGAAGAGCTTCATCTCATGTGTGGTCTAACTGGTATTGGACATCACCTTCTATAACAGTGCCTTTCTGATGAGTTCCTTTGATGTGGTTGGGTTTCTGGGATGGGAAGAAGCAAAGTTGACTTGTTTAGATAAAGCTACCATCTGCAAACTTGCTGCAAACTATTAGGCATAAAAACTCTTCAGCTCTCTAGACATTTCTTCTGACCTGTTACAAGAACTTCATAGTGAAGATGCAGAAAGTAGCTGGATTCATCATTTGAGCCCTGTACATAATTTTTCTACCTGTCTGAGAAGTAGATGAGGATTTCACAAAGCACACCACATACAAGAAGGTCACATTCATTCCAAACATGCCAAACAAGAAATGAATAGCCATACTTCCACTTACCTGTGCTGGTGGATACCTTCTTCCATATTACGCAATGATAAGCAATGATAAATCCAAACAGAATAACAAAGAAAGTGACGCCGTTCGTCATGTATCCAAAAATGGCTTCACACTCATCCCTACAAATGCCTGCAAAATGACTGGCCCAAAAACTGACTGCAGCAGAGTACTCGGGCAGAAGTCTGCTATCTCACAGAACATCTTCCTCCCATGTTACTGCTTGAGCAACATCACTTATACACCATACAGCCAACAGTCATTGGCCAAATACCATCTTGTAATCGCTCAAAGATCTTAAAAGATCAGGAATTTAAGACAATGAGAAGGAGCTGAAAAAACATGGCTACCTTTAACCTAAGATGTACTTGCTTTATTCCATTTCATAACAAAGAAAATCCAAGAAGAACTTAGAGAAGACCAGTAAAGATCCCCTACACATCTCTGAAGTTACTAACATGCAATTGTATCACTAACTTTTTCTGGTCAAGGTTGTTCTTCACAGAACTTCTGGTGACGACAAGGGAGTCACACCAACATTGTTGATACACAGTATTCTTACAACTACCACCTCGTGTGACAACTATGGCAAAACTGCGAGGAAAAAGGTCACTCACTCTACTCAGACCATCATGTGCTTCTGAGCACTTAACACCTCTTAGGAGAGTGTAAACGCTTTTCCCTTCAGAGAAGGTCCATGTCCCCTTCAGTGAAATAAATTCCTAATAGAGCAATGTCCTCTGGTAACCGTGAGCTTTGACGGAGACTTTGAAGGACCACAACTAAGTAAAAACTTTGTCCACCACATCCTCCTGTTTTCACATTTAGGACTCTACACCACATCATCAACACGATAATAAGTCCAACCATGTCTGCTGCAACAGCAATTCCACACCACGTGTACCCTGGCTTTTGAGCGGCGCCTGAGCATGGGCACACGGTCCCACTGGATCGTGGTGGGTTTTGTGCTGACCCACCAAGCAGTGCAGGAACTGGGTGTTCCCCAGGAGACGTGGAGTCCAAGGTGTCCTGTTCCAAGAGCTGGTGTAGGACATCTACCCTCCTGGGCTTGTGCGGCTGGTGGAGCTCCACCTTGACTCCATGGACTGGGGCTAAGTATTTAAAACACCCAAGCCAGGTCTTACTTTTTCTTTTTTTCTTTTTTTTTCTTTATTTTTTTTTCAAGGAAGAAAAAGAAGAAGGAAAGCAAGCAAGAAAAGGGTCCGTTTCTCGTGCTGCTTCCTGGCGCAGAGAGAGCAGCCAAACTTGTTCCCAGCTCGGCCATGAGGACCGGGTGCCGAGGTCGACATTTGGCCGGGCCCCCCCGGCCCAGGCGCGGCCTGTGGCTGCCCGGGCCCCGGCGCTGCCGCCCCCCGCGCACCTGGGCCGCCCGG